CGGCTCCTGAAGAACGCAAGGTGGGAGGGGATCTGCATTTAGCCGGTAAAGACATTATGGGATAGAATGCACACACATGCACAGAAGCCCCCTGGTAGATAGATCTCTTTTTGAACCTTTCTTACATTTTAACCCCTTTCTTGGTTACTTGGGCCCACTGAACAGAGAAATGTTATGCTTTAACGAATACAATTAAGCAATGCCTTGGTCATGGGTTCGCAGGGAATGCATGAACTGATTAAGTGTATATCTTGAATTTAAAGTTGCTTGTATTATGCAATGCATAACTGTAAAAGTAAACTTGATTAGAAAAGAATACTTTGTAATCTTGTAAGAATACCTCATAAAATGGCCACAACATCAATATTAAAGGCATGTATGTTCATTACTTTTTTATTTCTTTGTTTGTTTATTGTAATAATTACAAGGATCAAGTTTTCCATCAAGTAATATAGTTCATTAGCTTAACTGTAGGCTGTTGACAAGTTGGTATATTAATATATAGAATTCACACGTGGAGTCACCGGTGTTCGTTTGGCTAATTTACATGCACGTGGCTCATCCAATCAGATTTTAGAGCTGGAACCTATCCATTTTATATGTTTTGGGTTTAAAATACTCTAGCAATAGCGCAAGCTATCAATAGCATTAGTGATATGCTGTCGATTACTGCAGAAAAACATTTGAATACATCTCACCTTGTTAACAGTAATGTTTAATATGCTTTTAAACATTAAGTTGACCCTCAAAAAGTACACTTTTATACCTTTTCTAACAGTGCATATAGGGATAGTTCACGCAAAATTCTGTCATCGTTTACTCATTCTCATGTCATTCCAAACCTCTGTATGGCGTTCTTATTTTCTAAAATTGATATTTTGAAGAATGTTGGTGACTAACAACTTTGGTTCCCATTGATTTCCTTTATACAGACAAAAAATACAATGGAAGTCAATGGGAACCGAACCTGTTTGGTTTTCAACATTCTTCAAAATATTTTTCTTTGTGCTCAGCAGAGGAAAGAAATGCATACATGTTTGGAATGACATGAGAGTGAGTAAAGATGACAGAATTGTGGGTGAACTATCCCTTTTAGGTATTAATTTTACACACTGACACACATAATGTTAGTCTTGTGGCAATACTTTTGAAATAATGTGTATTTTTAACATTTATCAGGGCGCAAAGCCTTGCACCTTAGACTTCCATTGTGAGTGCATTACTAAAGTGATGTTTAGAAACTAAGAGACGAGTCCAAATTATTTTCTGTTATGGACAACAAGACACAGATGCTGTTGATAGAGCTTTACTTATTTTGAACTTAGAACATTACTTTAACTTCTCCTCTCCAAAGTGTATTCAGTCTTATACTGTATCTTCTCTGTAGTGACCTGTCTCACCCTCCTCTGACCTGTTTTTAGGAATTTGTTGGGGAATTTACAGCTGAAGCTACAGGTTGTGGCTATATACAGACCAGCTGACACCGAGAGCACACAGATATACAAACAGTAAATGTTTGTGTGTGTTGAGCGGTATAACTGCCTTTCAAAGTTATAGGGACACTGAGGTCATCTCAGGGCTGGAGTCAAATGTGCTGAAATATGTAAATCTTGGACTGAAAAGCCATAAAATTCATAATTGCTTCAGCTGGTGGGCCAAACGTGGCACTGTAATAACAGACTCCCTGGAATCACAACAATGTCCTAATACATCTCCACACCCGTGATTTTAAACTCTCAACTAATTCCTCGCATTATTCCAGCTAAAACACATTATACCATTAATTGAACCTCTCCAAGATGTTTTTTGAGCCTCTCAAGTCATTTTTGGCTGCCTTTGCATGTAGATCTAACCGAATCCAGCAAGCATAAATGGTGGTAACATTCAGGATTAGTGGACACCAAGGAAAGCAGACGTGTTCGGCTCAGTCAGGGATGGTTGGAAAGACCTGTCCCCACTCTGTCGACACTCTCTTCCCATCTCCAGCTCGCCACCGTGCTAAATACCACTGCTGTTAGCAGGCATTAAGAAGCCATTCACACCGCAGCCATGTGCTTGAGTTGGCCGCCATAATAGCTGAGCTACGTCTGGAAGGTGTCCGTTATACACACAGTCTTTCTCTTGCTCCTCTATTTTCTCCATCTCCCTTAGCTTTTGGCATGCCAACAGCAAATCGGTCTCTCTGGACTGGTGCTTTGAATGTTGTTGCCGCTCAGACGTGGCAGATAAAGTCCCTCGTGTGTTTTTTTTTTTCTTTGCTTAAAACATTGAGAAATGGCTGTTACCTGTGAGAGCCGGAACAGAGAAGCGTGATTTATGCACTTGAAAATGAAAGGATTTGCTAATGCATGTCAATCGAATATCACGGCAAGCCATGGAAAAGCGCTCTCTGGCACGGATGAGTGCCTGAAGCCATATTTTTCACATTAGAGGTTCTGTAAAGTTGCCTTGTGGTGCACATAACTGCTGGCATCCTGCTCGAGAGACAACCGAGCCTCGCCAGAGCTGTTCTCGTACTGTGATGCCCATCTGACCATCATCATAATCGCTTACACTGTACATGGGTCCTGTGAATGATCCAGTGTTGCAATGGGGGCTGAATTGGGGGCGCCTTGGAAAGTCAGGCAGGGTTAAGAGCTTGATGGGTGGGATAGAGATGCTGTAGTGCAAGTCTCTTTTTCTCTCTCTCTACCTCCTCCCTTGGGCAGGTGGTCTGGCCGAAAACTGACAGGGGCATCAGAAACCAATTACCCAGACTGCTTACACACAGGCTTTTCTCTGCCAAGCCAAACTATGCTATCTGAATAGGACTGCGTGTTCTTTCTTTCTTTCCAGTTTCCCCTCACAGCTGCTCACTCATCTGTTTGTTTCAGTGCTGTTTTAGTAATTTTTATGTATATTTTTTTAAATATTGAGTTTGCTTTTATTAGAGAACATCAGGCCTAAAAAAAACTTTCAGACGTGTGCCCTCTCCTTCTTTGAACCAGAAAACCTGAGATTTCTCTCGCTTGTTCTCTCTCTCTTCCTGTCTTTCTGTCTGGAGGGTGTAATTTCAGATGCCCATCATCATCTCCCATGGTAACCGGTTCCTGAGGAGCCAGAGCTGGAATCGTTAAGCAAATTTGATTTCTCAACTCATTTGCCTTCTATAAACGTTGCCATGTGTTTGATATTACATGTAAGCTGTTCCAGTGGGTGCAGAGGGAAAGCTGAGAAAGGAGAGAGGTGGAGAACAAGAATCGGAACATTAAATGGCAGGTGAAATTGAGCGAGATCTGAAGTGGAGGAAAAACAGGGAAGATGAGAGGAACGATACGCTAAAACATCTCTTCTTGGCCACAAATAAGGAAAAGGGCAAAAGATCTCTTCTTTCAATCAGTCTGTTTTTATGTACGTAAAACAAGAACACCCAAATGTTGAAAGTTCAACCAGCAGACAACCGGGGTAGCAGACAGACACCATGTCCCAACTCCACAACTGACTTAAACAATGCAACATTAAATGGCTAACCAGAATCTCTCTGTATGGTGAATCAACAGTATTTGGTTTCTGGGAGAAAAAAAAGATTATAAAAACAGGGGGGTAGAAGTATTTTACTCAAGGACAGCCTGAAGGTTGGACAGTTTTGTGCACTCTAAGGAATGTATGCAAAGGAGATTTATCAACCAAAGACAGAACTAAAAACTTTCAGCAAGGACATTAAGGATATAGCTCACCCAAAAATGAAAATTCTAGTGCCATTTCTTTACACTCATGCCATTCTAAACCCATATCACTTTCATCCAAGATTTTTAGCAATATGACAAAACTACTTTTCGTCCACACAGTGAAACTAGAAAGGGACCAGGAGTGCCAAACTAATAATAAAAAAACTTTAATCCTTCATTAAAAGCGACTAATATATACAAATTATCAAATTTATTTATCTTTTGAATCTTTTAAATTGTGAAATGTGTGAATAGATAAATGCCAATAAATACTTCAAATGTCCAAAAATGTCATTTTAATGTTATTTATTTATTTGTTTTTTTGTTTGTTTTTTTAAATAAAGTAGTTTTTAATAAAGTAAATTTTTTTATAAAGTTTGGTGAACTATCATTTGTATGCTTTGTAGAGCGCATTATGAGCACTAAATGAAGGCTGTGAAGGGTTGAGAGAGAGAGAGAGCAGAGATGGGTTAAGAATATTTAAGAATAAAGGAGTGAGGATAAAACAAGACTGGGTGATGAACTGTTAGTAATGGATACGTGTCACCGTCTCCCCCGTGATGTCACTGGCACTAAACCACTATTAGTGCAGCGCAGAAACCTAATAATGTGCTAATCTGGACCTATCTGCTGCCGTCTTAGACGGACTGGGGAAAAAAGCCCTCCAAATGCTATAAACAAGTACTGTAGATGTACTTGGATCCACATGTAGCTATATAATCCACTCTCTAACAGCCATGAACAGTGAGCACTGTTTTACATCACTCATTTATTGATGAAGTGGGACTGAATCTCATTAAAAAATGGATGGAGGGATGTACAATATTTCCTATGATGCCTCTCTCGAGAGCAGAATGGCGATGACTGTGCAACTGAGTATGAGACCTTGTTAATATCACTGAAGCCTCTTTATCCCTCAGGCGCTGATGATCAGGGCTTGTTTGGACTCCGAGACCACAGAGGTTACAGTGACAAAGTGAAGGGAAACTGGTTTTGAAGGGAAGAGGTTGACAGGGAATCAGAGGATTTATGTGAACGCCAGTAAAACTTTATGAGAGGAGCCGCATTTCAAGCAATCCAGCGGGCGTTCTTCACATCAGTCCAAACCCGGCTGGGGCGAGCTATGAAAACTTTTGTCTGAGGCGGAGGTAGAAATGATAAAAGAAGAAGAGAGGTGTGTTTTAGTCAGTGGACAGCAGCATCTGTTCAAACAATAACAGCCTTGCTGAAGGTTTATGGTGCAAAACTGTCCATTAGAATCATGAATGTTGTGATTAGGGCAGTGATTCTTACTCTGCATGCTTGTCCAGGGGTCACAAAAGTAGCCATATTCCCATTTTTACTTGTCTCGTGGGGTTTGTGTGGACATGTGCAGGCAGAACCCAGAGGAGTGTTTATGGAGAGTATGGATCGTATTAGAGCAGAGGTCACCAAGAGGCTGCCCATGTGTGCAGTGGACCTGATAAGAAGCAGAAAAAGACCCCTGGATCCACTGGAACCTTGCATGGAGGGTCTTTGGATTATTAGGAAACAATGTTCTCAATACATTTAACTTCTGTAATGTTACAGATTTCTGAGACTGTGTATTCAATGTGGAATAATGTAAAGTGAGACTTGATTTTATCCATTGAGATTTGATTGAAAGAGGTTGGAATGTGTATTATATTACTGGCACATTGTTTTTCCTAAAATTAGTAAAATAAATATTGACATACTGTATAGATATACTGTACATACATACACATGCACACACACTACCATGTAAAAGTTTGGGGAAGGGTAGGTAATATGTTTTTTTTTCCCGTCTTATGCTAATCAGCAGGGTTGGTTAAAAAATACAGTAAAAACAGTAATATCGTTAAATATTATAACAATTACATTTAATTCTATTGTAATCTATTTTTAAATGTAATTTATTTCTATGTTGGCAATGCTGAATTTTCAACAGCCATTACTCCAGTTTTCAGTGTCACGTGATCCTTCAGAAATCATTAACCTCTTAATATGCTGATTTTGTGCTTAAGAAACATTTCTTATCACATTAATCACAATAATTTTCCTTTCTGAATACAAATATTAATTTCTAAAAAAAAAAATTACTGGCCCCAAACTTTTGATATATATAATATTCAGTTTCTCATATAAAGGCAACGTCTTGCAGTTCATGCACTTTCAAAGGTAATGAATATTGACCACACAAGTAGTTTGTGTGTGTGTGTGTGTGCATGACAAATATATTTCAGTCTCATTTCAATCTCTGTTCTTTGTTCCAATAACAAAAGCAATGCTGGAAAGTCTCCTCATATTTCTGAAAGGGTGCCATGTTTGTGGTCAGTCGCCTCAGAATCTTTCCTATGAAGAGGGAACACTCTTTTGAAACACACTGCAAACACTCTGTTGACTGTTTGAAGAGTGTTTGCAGTGTGTTTTCTGATGTAACTCTGTTACAACCATTGGCCATTTGTGTGTATGTGTGTGGGGGTTTTTTCTGTAAAATAGACCTTGTTCTCGCTGATAGGTAAGAGAGCCGGTGGCCGGCCTCTCGCGTGACGTGAAGCCATTAAAGCAAAGATGAAATGTCTGTTCCATTCTCAAAGAAGGAATGCAGTGAAGAAGATGAAGAGAAAGGAAAAGAAAGGTGGATCTTGGCGCTGGGATCACAGCTATGTGGAATAGCACTCTGTCTTGTGCATTCCCAGCTGCTGGGAGCTCATAGCTCTGCTGCTTGAGCACAATCTATCTGCCAATGTGCAGAATTCATTAGGGCTGGAATACTGTAGCACAACAGACTTAGCAAGACAGGCCCTCCAGTCAGTCATTCAGATGTTTCATCAATCACTAACAATTGGAAGCACCAGGGACCACTCACACTTAACAGCAACTTGCATGCTCAAAACCAGCCTCAATTTCTGTATGTTAAGACATTTATATGGTGCTTTAAATGACAGATCAAGAGGAGCATGTTCATCTAACCCTGTCAAGCAAAGATTAAGTGTATATTAATTAGGATTGGGTTAGTTCATTTAGATTAACTCACTACTTGACTTTTTTTTCTTAGCTTGACTATTTTAGTGACAGTTCTTTAAAGGAGAAGGTTTTTAGCACACAGACAGTAAGCTGTATTTTAGTGAGCTAAAGGTCTAATAGCAACTGCCAAAACTCTACTTTCATCCCCGTTAAAGCACTGCCACTACAGCTATCAAAGCACCACCTTTGTTACAAATTCATTGCCTTTTCAAAATAAACTTTAAAACAATTACTGCCAGACTTCAGATATGAATAATATAGATATTTTTACATATAATGTTTTTGAGAATTATGTATAGTACTGTTAAAAAGTTTGTTGTGATTTTTTTCTTAATACGTTTATTTAGTTAGGATGTGTTAAATTGATTAAAATGGAGAGACAGTAGAGACGTTTGTATTGTTACAAAAGATTTATATTTCAATTAAATGCTTTTTATTTGATCTTTATCTGCTTTAAATGCTTTTCTTTTTAACTTTATATTAATCAAAGAATCCTAAGAAATGTATAATGTTTCCACAAAAACCTTAAGCAGCACAACTGTTTTCAACATTGATAATAAGAAATGTTTCTTAAGCACCAAATCAGCATATTAGAATGATTTCTGAAGCATCACGTGACACTGAAGAAGACACAAGTACTGGCTGCTGAAAATTCAGCTTTGCCATCACAGGAATAAATTACATTTAAAAATATACTAAAATAGAAAACAGTTATTTTAAATTGCAATAATATTTCACTTTATTACTGTTTTTACTGTGTATTTGTAAAGTGCCCATATCAGGCCATTTGTAATGTTCCTAATATTGTTTTGGGAGTCTCCTACTATAGGTTTACATGCACGCATGGTCAAAAAAACGCTTTTGTTTCTCAAAATATGCATTTAATATCACTTAATTTTTCAACAATCCTCAAATGATTCGTTCGAAGCAGTTTTAAGGTTCAATCTCTCTAAACCCCTCCTTTCCGTGAGCCTATACTCTGCTCTGATTGGTCAGATAGCCCAGTCTGTTGTGATTGGTCTACCATGTACGGTTCGTGTCGAAAATGATACGCCCATTGCCATAGTTCCGTGTTTTGATAGAAAATACAAACATCTATTATTAATCATACTTACAGGTGGTGTTCAGTGGAGCCAGCTGGTCCAAATAAACTGGGTACTGAGCCATACTTCAAGAGCAAGCGTTTTGTGAATCCTGTGTTGAACTCCCCGAACTCCCTTCATCTTTCGGAAGTGAAAATAAAACGAATTTACTTTCACAGCGTCTTCTTGAAATGATGTTAATCACACGAAGCTACAGTGTTTGAGGGCGGGTCAAGTTGTTCACGGCCGGCCAATGTAGAACATAGGCTGGCATTATGCAAATGTGTTACTCCGTGATGTGTAGCCATCACGGAAGTGGGATTCGAATTACTGACGACTTGTTCAGGCTGTTTAGAGTAGATTCTTTCTTTTGGATGAAAATAACTTTATTTATTTTGCACTTTCGGCTTTACAACTTGCAGATTGTTTAAATTCACATACAGCTACATTACACACTGCATGAAAGACAATATTCGAACTGCCTGGCATAATAGGCAGGGGCGCCACTATGGTTTCTGGGCCCACTGAACAGCATATTGACTTGGGCCCCCTCCGCGATTGCATTCTGGGGGGCGAACGCGCCCGATCACAACTTTTGAATGGTAGTGTACATTCGCAGACACATCTTTTGCTGTTGAGTCGGAAATGATTACACATATTTACTGCATCTACTTATATTTTAAACTTGACAGAAAGCTGAAAAAAGCCAAAGAACAGGATGTTTGTGGGGCAGAAACTTCAGTGTGGACTGCATGAATAATTTCCTCTGCGAGGAAGGGCACACCCTCAGCACAGACAGAGAGTTGGTCCTACAGACCACTGCTTCCTTGCTGTGTGTGTGCCACGCTCTGGGTAAGATGGCACTTTGATGTAGGTAACTACTTCCCATTTGATGAAAGTAAACATTCAAGGTATCCATGGCTTGGCTTTTACACTTCAGTGAATTCCAGAGCAAGCCTCCTTTTCAGGCCAATACATAATTTTCTAAGTGGTTCTGGACAGCAGGGGGCAATTTAGTCATTAGAAAGGCCAATTAAGTAATTAAGCCAGCGGTTTGACTGTCGCGTGTGTGCTCACAAGCCCCGCAGATCGCCTGATTTGGCTCCAGTGCCACTTTTACGCACATTTGCTCTTGTTATCATTGAAGGCTTAAGTCCCCTAGTGGACATCCTCCAAATGGAAATTGCATTTCTTTGAAAGCATGATAGGTAATTAAGAAAATGAAGTTGTGGATATACAAACCGAGGTCATTCCTGAGTCAGAAGCATTTATGAAATAGACAGTGCCAGAATCTTGGGTAATATTTAAAGACATGCTTAAAACATCATCCAATCAGCCATGTGAAAACACCAAGCTCCAATGCCATCTTGAAACAATGAGGAAAGAATTTGATGATAACATCTTTGCTTCCACCAGACTGAAGCTCATGTATTCTCATTCCCATATGCTGAGATTCTCCAGTCATTCTAATTCCATTGTATGCTGACACTCATATTCCATTCTGCAGGTAGAGTGTCACAGAGGTGTGCAAAAAGCCTCCACAAAGAGGACTAGAGTGAAAAAAACGAGAAAAAAAAAACTGGAGGCTAAGGAGAATATTTTGGGCCATGAGGTTATCCAGCAGGAGCAGAGGGGTGGCTGCTTTTTCCATCACGCTGTTGCACATGCCAGCAGATCATAGCACCCAGTTCTTACACATGAGACCTGGAATGTAAATATTTAAATGCGGCAAAAGTCAGACTCTCCTTAATTCTATCATTTAAATATGCATTATTTATCTGAGGTCCATCAGATGGTTACAGCATGGAGTGCCGAGTAAATATTTGTAGCAGAATACTGATGATAAACTGTTCTGAACACAAGCCAGTTGAGACATTTGCAAAATGCATGATGGAAATTTTCCACACTTTTTCCATCATGGTATCATTCCTAATAACATTTCTAATTAAGCAATAAGCATACAAGCAAAAGTGCAACTGCACTGAGTGGCTGTGCTTCAGTTGTTTGCTTGTGATGTTCTGTAAGTTGCTAGTTTGAAAAAAGTCTTTTATCCTCAGCAAGGCTGTGTTTATGTGTTTAAAATGCAGAAAAAAGTAATATTGTGAAATATTATTACAATTTAAAAGAACTATTCTATTTAAATATATTTTCATATAGGAATAAATGTAATTTATTCCTGCGATGGCAAGGCTGAGTTTTCAGCATCGTTACTCCAGTCTTCAGTGTCACATGATCCTTCAGAAATCATTCTAATATGCTGATTTGGTGCTCAAGAAACATTTCTTATTATTAAAAAAAATGTTGAAAACAGTTGTGCTGCTTAATATTTTAGTGGAAACCATGATACATTTTTTTCAGGATTCTTTGATCAGACGGTTGAAAAAAAATGTGTTTATTTGAAATGAAAAACTTTTATAACATTGTAAATGTCTTTACTGTCACTTTCGATCAATTTAATATGTCCTTGCTCAATAAAAGTATTATATAAAAAAAAATCTTACTGACCCCAAACTTATGAACAAGAACAAGTTAACAAATTAATATAAGGAAACTGACATTTCATTCACAATATGGCTGGCTATACAGTATGGTTTATTTTTTCTCTGCCAACAAAAAGACTAGTTAACACAATTTGAATTCTCTGTAACAAACACAGAGAAGCGAAGTGATACAAACAAATTAGTGAACTGGAACTAATTGCTGTATAATAATATGGCGAAAAGCTCATGACAATTTCACAGTGAGTGTACAAATATGTCTGCTGTATTTGACTATACATTTCTGTTAATCCCATTTTAACAGACTCAATCCCTCCAAGGTCCATCAACACTTCAGCACTTCTTCACAGCTGAAAACATGTGGCTTCTGCTAAAGTGTGAGTTCCAACAACTTTATTCTGTTAGTCTGAGTTTAAGTTTGCAGTGGGGTTTTCACTCCCTACACAGAGCCTAAAATAGCCTTGTGACTTTCCTTCTTTGCTAGCCAGTATCACACAGAGACTGTGTGTATCCTTGAGTTTGTCTACATTGTCAGCTAGGCCGCGACCTTTGACCTCAGCCCAGAGGAGGGTGGTATATATATGATGTTCTTGTACATTTTTTGTCTCCTCCCCCAATGTTCAAATGCTAGCTACAACATGAGCTAACAAGATAAATAAGCACATGTGTACATTGCTTTAGCATAGGCATGAGGCATTCAGTCCACTGATGCATAATGGGAGCTTGCCCTTCATGTTGCTTCCTATCATACCTAGCTGTCTACGTTCATCCATGTTTGCAGAGCTGAAGGTGAACCATGCTCTCCATGCGGTCTTTGAAACTCACCACTCCTGCTTCAAGGAGAAAGCCAAACTCTCCCCAATACTCTTCAACTTCACCCTGCACTCCATCCGAGAGCCAGACGTGGATCTGTGCCAGGCCATGCTAACCGCTCTATCCTCCTGGCATCACACCCCATTATCCTCCAAGCAACCACATCAGCACTGAGATGGGGACCTGTTTTTCTGTAGCACCTTCTGAGCTCAAAGCACTTCCTGAGCTCTTGGCAACGTTTCCCAGCGAACATAGAGGAAAAGGTCAGGCTAACTGCTTCAACCCAAGGTAAAGGCCAGGGCGGTTGACACAAATTCTGGTGTGGGGATGCCAGCGACAACTGATGACTCATGCCGTGAAACCCCGAGAAAGAGAGCACTGCAAGTTTCAGGATATCGTAGGCAGTTACTTTTATTGGGAACGATTAATACGCTGGCTAGCAGCATTTGGAAGCATTCCCAACTCTGATCTTCCACAATCCCGTGGCTCATGTTTCAGATTAAGCCTCGCAGCGACACCACAGCCTACACATCATCCAACCCCTTCCTTCTTGCCTCCATGCATGATCTTGCCGTCTGACCTCACTCCTGCTTGAGCGTTCCAGGCGAGCACGGCGCTTAAATTATCCCTCAGATTCTAATACAGGATAATCATTTGCCTGTCATTTTCATTTCATGCACTTTACTTCTTCTGGGACTATTTTTGGACGGAAAGCTGTAGGAAATTCAGATGTTCAAAAGCTTGCTGATTAGCCCTGTGATTAAAATGGATCGCTGGCTGAACCTTCACCAGAATCTAAAGCAGCGACTTCTAGAATCATTAAGAGCACTTTGTTACAGTTCATATTGCAGTGCCTAACTCCATCTGTTCTACCAATTCTGGTGACATTTAGTGTATGAACAGAATTCAGTGAAAAATAAACTCATACTCAAAGAAATATTTGATGCAATAAATTTCCAAACTGTAATTCTATCTAAAACCCATTCTGTCTGAAAGCATTATTTTGCCGCTACATAAAAAAAAAAAAAGATATTTTGACTTTGTCAGACTGGGAATGAGAGCGGTATTTTGACCTCTCTCAGATTAAAGACGAGAGAGCTGTCACCCTGTGCTGGGTCCACATTTCCCACAATTCCTTACAGGGGGTGCGCTGGCGGGCAGGCCCTGCAGGCATGTTCTTTTTTGACAGCATAGTTAGGAGGTGCTGATGAAAGTGGAGAGGCTATGTTGCCCCTGTACCCTCTTAAATTAGCACAGGAGCCCTGTTGCCTGTCACACAGGGGCCCCTGCTCACAGATTCAGTTGCAGGGTGAATGTTCATGTCCGTGTTGCTGGCACCAATGCAGGTTTTGTGGTGGTAAGCAGTGTATTGAGGTTGTGTTGAGGTCTTGTTGGACCGCAGTGAGCGCCAAACATCAATAATATTTTGGAATTTTTTAACAAAATGCTTTTTTACAGTATTGTTTTTTTTTATGTGTATGATGTGTGTGTGTGTATATGTTTTAATATATATCATTTTTTATAGATATACTTAGTTTATACAGTGGGTACGGAAAGTATTCAGACCCCCTTAAATTTTTCACTCTTTGTTATATTGCAGCCATTTGCTAAAATCATTTAAGTTAATTTTTTTTCCACATTAATGTACACACAGCACCCCATATTGACAGAAAAACACAGAATTGTTGACATTTTTGCAAATTTATTAAAAAAGAAAAACTGAAAAATGCTCAGTATTTAGTAGAAGCACTATATATATATATATATAAATTAATCTTTTTTAAAAGATATATATGACATAAATTCTATATAAAATAGGGTATAGTTTGTGTGTGTGTGACACACAAGGAACAAAAACACTCTGCCTGTTTAATATAACTCCTCCGCTCTATACATATCTGTGAGCCACTCCTTTTTCAGTGCAGAAATAAAAGCTGGATACCCTCCACCTACATATCATCAAGCAATTAGGTTAGTTTGTCCATCTTTCACTCTAATGTTACATTCGACAGGCAGCAATAGGATAATCAAGATGTGTCAGATGACAGCACGACCCCACAGGCAGACAGTCATTCTCTTTCCTCCCTCTATACCTCATAAATTTTATTCAGCATTGATTTCCACACCAGTCTATCAAGCTGCCAGCTGCGCTCCCTCCCCCTCTGATTTAACTCCAGACTTTTATCTCATTTCCTCCCTGCTCTGGTTTGTCTGTGGATATTCATAATCACTTAATCCATAACAACACCTTTTTAAACCACCGGATTTCCCATGCACCCTTGCCAAAACACACACACAGGACTCTCTGTCTGGTTGCCTACTCACTGACCTGTGAGAAGTTCAGTCCATTCAGGGGATGGCACTGTTCCTCCACCCTCTCCACAGCACCTGTCTGCTTTCCGAGACGCTCGGCTTCCTGTGCCAAGAACAGGTCGAGTACCGGAGTTCCCCGTGACCGCACATCTGCTTCCGTCAGTGAGTTCACCATCAGCATAACCCATACGGGCCTCTTGCGTTCCCAGTTCCCTGCAATGGCATTGAAGAGGTAGTCTGCATAAAGCCCCCGGCCACGCTGGTCTGCCGTCATCCAGAAGGGCATCATGTGTTTGACGTAGTCCAGGTGGCGCTTGAGTCGGCGGTAGAGATCACGTGGCAGTAACGTCTGGAGGTTTTCTCCGTTGGGCAGAAGCTGGCAGCTAGTGAGTTTTGAGATGGTTAGAGGATCTGTGAGATCCAGTTCAAAGAAAACATTGGTGCTGGTCTGGAAGGCCCGTTTCGAGCTCTCAGGGATGTAGTCCCAGACTCGAGTGTACGGGACGTGGATTGTCCCAAACAGATAGGACGGAGGGTAAGGAGGAGGCCGTTTCACGGTCCACAGGAAGGAGTTCATGTCTTTCTGCTTGATAAAGAGAAAAGGAAGAGATTTTAGGGTCAAAGGGTCAGTAGCAAAACATTAGACTGAAAGAAATACATCAGTGTTACAACTCAAATAATGACACTCAAAGATTAGCCTATATATATTTGGTAATTATCCGTTTTATTATCCTAAAAAAGATCATAATCAATGTTTTAAACTGCATAGATCAATATAAACCAGACTGATGAAGTCTTAGACACTGATATAATAATCTCAAACTGAATTCCATAGGGTCACAGTATGCATTAACTTTTTCCTTATTCAAAGTCAAACTGAGGGAAAAAAGCACCATATAGTATAGCTGTGTCACAGAGGACTTGGTTCATGCCAGTGCACTGATAGAGCTGGCGTATTAAATCTGTGGTGGAAATGTTTAATGGGGTTCTTAGTTTACAGTGTGCCTTTCCTCGTAAAAAGGGCCTTTACACTCTGCAGCGCTGCAAACCTCTACTGTTCTGCACCCTCTGAAACTTTAAAGTATTTACTAGTTGCTGAGGCTGTCAATAGCTGTGCCCTTGTAAAATGTAACCTTCAATGAACAACTCACTCTTAAACGGTCAACCTTTAAATTTAATGAATTGTTCAACCACCTCAAATCAGGAAAGAGCAGTTTAGAGTTTATTAACCATGAGTCAGAGCTGATGTTAATGAGAGCAGGAAGAATTGCAAGTGATGTTTGACTATATTTGTAGTCCCCCCCCCCCAGATATTTTATGCTTACTTGCATTAAGAAATGCAATTCATCCAGAAATTACTTGTTTACAACTCTTGAATTAATTTGATTATAATATTTTTGTCAGGGTGTAACATGCAGAATATCATTTTGCGGTCATGTGAAAAAAAATTGATAGGATGCCATTTCATGATGTATGTATATACACATACATTTGTATATATTTGTGTTTAGAATTACCTTAAAATACATTTGAAAATAACAATTTTGAAAATAAGGAGTACATAAAGTGTTTTAGTACTTTTCCGGTGATGATTACACCACGTGACATTTTAGCCTCATAAAATCTAAATATTTTTTAAAAATGGTATAATGTGTTTCAAGAATGTATGAAACCAACATATAATACAAAGATTAAACTGCATTTCTAAGAACTTAGCACGTTTTAATACTAGCTTTTAAAATTCTTTTATTAATATTATTTTAATCGAACATCCTTATTTGTCATTTATTTTAATGTGCCTCCACAGACTGCAGTTATTCATTCCTTTATATTTTTTGGGGTCTTAACGTCTGAAATTGCCACATGTGTTCGCGCCTGCTCATGTCTTCATATTGTATTTGGACACCTGTGGAAATGGCTCGAACACTGACCGGCTTTACTGGAGAGAAGCTTATATACTAAAGTAATGTATTCTGAATGAGCAGGTCACATTCACAAACCCTCTGCTCTGTTTATGGAGTACATTCTTAACCAAAAACAGGCCTCGCAGTACTCGCGCATTATGAATTACATTAAGAATGCACAGGTCATGTCCTGGACAATGGGACCATTAATTATATAAATCTCCAGGAAAAGATAAACATTAATTGTCAAAACAAATAGAAAGGTAGATTGGAAGAAAGTTTGCGTGCATAATGCATTAACTTTCGATTTATATTTAACAAAGCATTTCTGCCTATAAATACACAAACACTGTATTGAATGAGTGAAGAACCAGCACTCTCTTTTAAAACTTGGGATAGTCGATATTACATATGTTTGATGGAATATAATGTATCTTTCCTTATGATTTCCTCCTCGACCGATGATGAACTCTCTCCTCCATGCACTGTATGGCTCGGATGAAAGCGAAACATTAATTGCGTTAAGCAGCCTCGCGCAGCTTGCCAAATCATAATGAAGTAAATATGCTCGATAACTACTTTAACAGTTCTCGTCTCAATTAAACTTGATCTGTTTATGGGGGTCCGTGATTTTTTTTCCATATAAATGCATTTGAAGTCTATTCACCCGTGGGACTTCCCCCTTTTTCCTTTGACACATAAACTGGCACTGCACTGGCAAGATTTTAGCTGTATTTCGCTTGGCACAAAAAGTCATTTTTCTGGCCCAGATTTCTACGATTACATGACAAGAAGTGACACGCGGCTGGCTGGACGCCACTAAATAATTATTGTTTTAAAATAGATATTCCGTTATGGCTCAATTGATAACTGAAATGCAACAAATATAATAATTATATTAAAATAAGTTGTTTTGTAGTATTATAAAAATGTCTAATGTTTATTCAAATTTACATTATAACTTTTATTTTTAGGTATATTTGTTAATGATATGAAGAGGTACAAGATCATGCAGAATAATTAAATAAGAAACGAAAACCCTACTGAACCTCACAGCAAAAGTAATTAATGTTTTATGTTAAAATAGCAATTTAATGGTTTGATTTGTTACAAAATGCACACGTATTTTAGTGGCCAAATACAGTTATGTTTAGAATAAATTGTAGTCTGAGAAAACGATCGTACAGATAAAATGAATTTATCTATTTTTAACCTTCCCAAAAAAAACTTCCAAGTTAAATTGAACTATCAAACATTACAACCATTCCAATAATTTCGAATCACAGTCTTTGAATTGAATTATTTCAGTTGTTGGTAATAAAAGCACCTCTTTAAAATAGAAGAAGTGGAGAAGATCAAACAGCGAACCAATCTCCTATAATAATATCATGCAAGATAGATCTTGATGACACGCCATTTAAGAGGTCCTGCAAAGGTGAGTGCAGTGCGCGCGAAGCAACTTCACAAAGTGCGCACTAGACACACTCACCGATACGGGCTTGTCACATTTCCGCGTGCTCTGGTGCGTGTCCCGCGGTGAGCCCACTTGAAAGAAAGCGCATAAAGTTACCAACCATCGTAGTCCCGAGTGACAGTTCATTTCGAGATGAGAGGGCACAGGACACCTCACGTTTCCCTTAGCTCCGTTACCTCTGTTGTTTACAAGTTTCTCCTGGTTTCACAGCACAAATAAAATGTTTTCCGCCGGTGATGATTGGGCTCACATTTGCCGTCTCGAAAGGAAAGCATTCTGCCCCTCCGCCATTCTCCTGGCCCAGACTTTCAAAGGGATTCGCGTTCTCTCTCTCTCTCCTGGCCCAGACTTTCAAAGGGATTCGCGTTCTCTCTCTCTCTCCTGGCCCAGACTTTCAAAGGGATTCGCGTTCTCTCTCTCTCTCCTGGCCCAGACTTTCAAAGGGATTCGCGTTCTCTCTCTCTCTCTCTCTCTCTCTCTCCAGCACAAACTCTACGCTGCGCCCTCAAGTTTCCAGTTTAACTGCGCAGAGAACGTGAAACGCCTTGAATGTTTCCCCCTCTGCTTGTTAAGAGGAGGGGAGAGCAGGTTCTTTCGGAGGACCAGTGTTTAACATTTCGACGGTCATGGAACACAGCATTGATCTACATTGATCACTGAAAAAATACCCTGGTCTTTAGGTGGATGATGACTTTTCATTAGATGTATGAAGAATTTGTAAAAAAAAGTCCGGTTAAATTTACTGTAAAACTGAGAGCTCTGTATAGCTTACTATAATGTTTAGTAGCTCTGTAGGCTACTATAATGTTAAAATAGGAGCCTTACTTTGTCCAAAAAAAATAATACCTACTAATAACCACCATAATATTACAGGTGGTACCGTAAATTATCATACCACATGATGAACAATTACAAAAAAATGTATAGGCAGAGCATAATGTTAGTCACATAAAACACAGTAACCTACAGGACAGTGCATAATGCACTAAGCAATAACTAAACAACATAAAGTGTAACATGCACACCCTAATATACATGATGTCATGTACATTTTATCCATAAAAGCTAACATAAGTTATCACTATATTAAGGTGACTTCCAGTTATAACTATATCTTTTTCTAATTAAACTAAAAAAATTAAATCTATTTTAGGGAGTCAAAATAATCCGACAGTCAACAGCAGTTCCTGCAAGATAACATTTTTCCTTTGATTTCTTTCTCTGATACAGCACAAACTGACGCTTTCTGCATGAATTCGTTTGTTGTTGTTTTTTTTAAATGTGACATTCTGTATAGAAGGCATGCCATTGGGGTCTTTTGCCGCTTAAATGTTTCGTTTCTGGCATATTGTACCGTTTACCCTCAATTCATCACTGTCACCATCTATTTGACAGTAATGCGTCGTGGCCATTGACTCTAATTATTTTTGCATTGACATGTTCTGGATCGCAGGCCTAGCTATGATTAATGAATCTAAACATTGTAGGAAGTAATGCCTGCAAAAATATATTTTAAGTTTGTTTTTTCATTCCAGTTCTCGTTAAGGATGTGTAATTCCGGCCAGTACCACTGGAGGATGAATGGTAGTGCTGAAAGCCAGTTGTCGTTTTTCCGCAGTGCCCAGCTCTGGTGCCGTGACCCATGTTATTGTCCGAGTGGATGGCCGAGTGACAGTGTCAAGTAGTGGGCAATTAATCACAGGCTACATAGAGCTCCGCTGGTGACAGCAGAAAGGGTCGACACAAGAGCCCCTTTTTGTTTCCATCACGTCTCATTCTCCAGACTCTCCACAGGTCCTGTATGAGGCTCCAACGCGGGCGTACTTGCTCTTACCTACTGTATATTTTCTGTCGGCTCAGTGATTACACCACACTGATTACAGCCTTCTATTTGTTTATGTGTGTGCTCAACCAGGCCTCGATGATGTGCAGTATCAGTAAGTTTTAAAGCAGCACGTTTCAATCACAAGTGTTGATGAACGATTAAATGATTAAATGATTGGCTACAGTGTAATGAACAGCTCTAGCTCTTCCTCGCAGTTTCCCCTGCGTGCTGTAGTTGCAGTAAGAGATTCGCCGAGAATCATTTTTCAGTCTGAATGACAGATAATCCCATGCAATTGTTATTTTACGGCTCGTTGACCATATGTGCCGTGCAGGTTTACTTTACTGTTACTCTCACGGAGATCCTACATCTGCCTTCTCTCATTGTGTGTGTTCTGTTATTGAGGGCTTTTCCATTCGTACTTGTCTTCTGTTTCACCTGTGGCCACCTGCAGATGCATATACCTGTTGAAACCGCGCCTTACAAGAGTTTGGGGTCTGAGGGTGATTTTCACATTCTTGGTTGGTGAGTGCACGAAGCTAGTTATGGAATATTCCTGGATTTGCTCCAGAACACACAAACAAACACACACACATACATATACTGTATATACATTGTGCACTTGGATAGTGGAAATAAAACAGTTGAACAATACTGTTCTGGTTGTTTCTTTAATGGATGCCTAGGGACGCATAAGCCAAGAACTTGTGTTTTTTCTTAAAGGGCACACATATGGTCGCACTGTCATAGTCGTATCTGCATTCATTCACCTCATTGTCAGACTGAACCCTTCAATTAGACGTTCAAACAAACACGCTGACAGATCAGTCCACGCTCTCATGTGCCGTCATGCTGCTTTTTTAGGATGAAGTGGGTAATGTCTTTCACCTCAAGGCTCTTCAAGTCGCGTGTTTTCATGTTTCTGAGGCCCAGAAATGAGACTTTGACATTTCACAGCTTACCCCCGAATGAGCTCATGATTCATGATTGAATCAAGACAAAATCTCTCCATTTATATATGAAGGTCTTTTTTCCTTTCATTTTTTTGAGTTTGTGCTAATTTTGATCTTTTTGTGCTTTACCTGCTTTGTCCATTATGCCTGTGACATTTTAACTTGTTTATCTTTAAAACGGTGCCCTCTATTGTCCATTCATAGTATGACAAGAGGCTGTGAGAGCAAACTAAAGCCATTGTGCTGTTCTCAGTAACCTAAGACAAAGTCAAACAAAAGGGAAAGTTCCCAGTAAGAGGATGTTTGCTCATCCTGAACATGATACAATACTGTAGTCAGTGGTAACTTTCAAATAACCTTTAAATTGTGCCTTAAACCCAAAATAATACAGCTTTGTTGTAAATACTGATGTATTGTTGTGGTTTATGGTACACTGGATTTCCTAAGACAGTAGGGGGCAAAGAGGTCCTCACAGAAGGGGGTTGCAAGTGTCATTCAGGGGTCAGTAGAAGAAACGTGAGGCCATGAGTTGAATGAACTAGTAATAAACCAGCCTGTGGAAAAAATGCGCACTTAAATGGCTTTAAGATTTCACAATCTTCATGCCAAAACATGAAGAACTTGTGTAGTTTTGACAGCAAAGAGTAGCAAACTACAAAAACATTAAAGTAGAACGACTCTTTTACGACTGTTTGAAGCATCTGTTCGGCATTTTCCTGGCGTGTGCTCACACGCAGACAAAGACTGTCAGGCTATCTCATGAATCAGTATGAAAGAGATGGAGAGAAGGAGTGAAAGTGAGAGGTGGGTGGTGGTGGAGAGATTCAGATGATGATAAGATGGGAAGGCGACAGACGGATGGTTGTTCGCTTTCTGTGAGACTGTGATGGAATTTCTTACAGATCGCTGCTTCCTGGGAATATCGGAAACTGTGGATGGAATTGTTTAGCTTTGTTTGTTTGATTTTGGAAAAGGCTTAACTGGCTTGTTAGTGTATGTATGTAGGAGAGAGAGCGGGAAAAAAGTGTTTCTGTGCACATTTCTGTGTTCATAACCTCAGAAGACACTGAACAATCACATCAAAGCGCTCGCAAACAAAGGCTTCCCGTAATGCAACAGTGCCTTCTTTTTAGATCAGAGATTAAATGTGTAATTGCATGATGATCTGTGGGGGACCCCTGCTATGGCTTCATCTGTTACTGGGGTCTCTCAATGTTACCGTCTGAATAGACTCAATAACGTCATCTATTCATGATGCAACTGTACAAAGAGCTCCAAAATTACTACTGGTTAAAGATTGTGGTGGTTTAATATAGTGAGACCTGGAAGTCTGGATTTGAACAAAAGAAATCATAATATTATGGAAATAACATCCAGGGCATCATTGTCAGGCAGCAGTTCATTCACATTCACCGCAAATCGGCTTATCTTTGTCCAAGAGATGCTAGTGCATAGCAGATTGGCAACAGGGATCCAGAATTTCCCACAGAGACAGAGGTACTCCATACTGAAGCCGGTGTAAATCACATATTCTCAGACCATGTAATTATAGCGTTTGCAAGAGCACTTAATCTGACCAAAGCAGGCAAACATTTATTGTCATAAATTTGCCAGTCACAATGTACTGACACACACCGTTAGATACAGTGTATCATCTTCTCTTTAAAATGTACTTGTGTGTGTGTGTGTGTGTGTGTGTGTGTGTGTGTGTGTATGTTTGAGACAGAAATGGGTGGGGGGTGGCCAGAGAGCTGCCTAAGAAAATACAGAGAGGCCTGTTTCCTGGCTGCAGCGTACTATGGGGTTTTATGAGTGGTGAAATCTTAACCATGTTTATCTAGCGTTTTTCCAGTATTCTTAAAGAACATCTTAGTTTCTTGACCTGGATTGCTTGTCAGATTTTGAAATGTTTTGGCAATGGGTGGATGCTGTGTGTGTGTACTTGGTTAACAAGGAAGCCTAGTCTTTTTAAATCAATAATGAATACATTTATTTATTATTAAATTTTATTATTATTATTAATCCAGGTAATCTCTTCTGCAAAGTTTTGTACCATGTAATAAAAGCACAAAATGTCTTTGTTTTCCAAAATTTTATTTAAAAATGTATATGAATAAAAATATAATAAAAATAAAACAACAACTATTATTATTATTATTAACATATATTCATATATTTTAACATTTTTATCATATACATTTTTACGTAAAATATTAGAATTATTCTTTTAACTTTTATTAAGGAAGGTAAAGGGTAAAAATTAAAATTCAGTTCCATCTATTACTTTCAAACGATTCAAATGGTTAAAAAAAGTATTAAATGATCAAATCCGTCTTTTCCCGCATCTCTTTTGACATGTTTTACAAAACAACCTCTTTAGATGATGTTGATATGAAGACATCTCTGAAGTCCTGCAAAAATAGATGGTTAGCTGATTGTTAGCTCTCTCATGTTGGCCC